ACTCACTCACTCACTCACTCTTTTATTTCAGCACTAAAAGTATTATTATTATTATTATTATTATCCTACAACGTCGTAATTAAAACTACAGAAGTGAAAATGTTACTTCATCTCATAATCTCATAGGACGAGGAGTAGGGCACAATGATCAACTTTTTAAATATATTTTCATATGCATATATATATATATATATATATATATATTTTTAATATACAGGCATCTATCTATCTATCTATCTATCTATCTATCTATCTATTTGTGTCAATTTATCGATCAATCCAGTCAGTCAGTCAGCCAGCCAGCCATCTTTTGAAAATACACATGATATAACAAGATATTGATTTTTTAATTTTAATTAGTCATCTAAATGCCTTGTATAATAGAGTAGAGTAGAATAGAATAGAATAGAATTAATTATTCCTTAATTCATTGCCTCCCTGCCTGCTTTGATTGTGAATTGTAAATTTTGCCTAAAAGATGATGATGATAAATAATGACTTCTTTTAATTTGAAGAAGAAGAAGAAGTCAATTGAAGAAGAACTTATTATTTATTCTTATTATTAGTCTTTTTGGGAGGATTTCATCATGACCTCTATGAGACATGAATTATCTATCTATCTATGAGTTAGAGAGAAAGAAGCATTGTAAAACCAGTTGGGTGGAGGGGAGTATTGGATAGCCAGCTATTTTATCAGCCACCCCAGTTTGAGGCACTTACTTCAGTAGCACGCTGGCTGGGTTCGAGCCAGTCCTGGCGGTTTACACAGAATGATAAGTTCTTGTTTGTTTTTGGTCGAATTACAAAACACACAGACACACTCACAGTTGGTGTGATGATCTCGGACAGCAGTAGTTTTACTCAAAATATACTACCGAAAACGAACATACAAAGAAACAAACAAACAGAACTTATCATTGTCTGTAAACTATTGAAATATATGATTATTATTTATTTATTTATTTACTGACATTAACTACTCCGGGAGAATTGATTGCAACTATAGAAATGACTCAGCGCTGACTCAGCAAGAAAATAACATCCGGAATTCCGACGCCAATATGAACAAACTGCAGACCTTCATCAACAGCTGCAACAACTGCAAAACTTTCCTCGAGAACACATGGCCGGCCAGGTAAGGAAAACTTTGGCAGGGAAACCAACGCAATGGAGATGTACGGCTGTAGCCTTGTTTTCCTCTAGGAATGAAACGAGACGATAATAATAATAATAATAATAATAATAATAATAATGATACTTATAGTATAATATAATGTAATAATAATAATATACCGAAAATGAGAATTGAGTACGCGAACTGACAAGTATCCATCTCCGTATACTTATCGTCCGCTGTCTCTAAAGTGACGATGCCATGTAGTCATCGGCAACCTTGGCTGGGCTGGGCTGGGCTGGACTGTAAAGTGATGATTACGCCATCGAGATTTCCTGTTAATACTAACAATGCTAAGAGATGTTCTTCATAAACCACAAGTTGATGATGAGTTCCACTAACACATGACACACGTTTAAGTAAATTATTATTATTATTATAAAAATTACTATTATTATTATTTTCAAATACTTACCGAGTGAGTGAGTAATTTGTCAATGATATTCCGGGATTCATAATCACTGACAGGCTGATAGTTAGCTTCGTTAGACGAGAGAGACAGACGGCTGGCTGGATGGCTGGCTGGCTGCCTTTCATTCAAAGTAACAACAATAAGTATTGAAAATATAAGTAAGAATTATTTCAACTGGTAAAATACTGGTCGGCTGGATACACTCACTTGTCGTCGATTTGCCAAGAGGAGAGGAGAGGAGAGGAGAGCAGATGAATAATACCAGCCAGCCAGCCAGTTAGAAGGAATCAAATGACTGAAAATGATGAATAGCATTGAATTAGATTGATAACAACTTGGAATTGGGGCTATGAAGTCATCAAATAAATAAATAAATAGAAATCTAGATCTGGTTATTTGATGCAAGCAACCAAAATCTTCAAAGTCATATGTCTTTACATCCACTAAATAGAGTATGTAAGAGAGAGAAAACAGTACTTACTTACCTCTCCAGTCAGGTCGTGTGTGGTTATAACCAGGCGTCGTTGTTAGTGTCTTCATTTTTATTATATATATATGTACTTTGACAACAGTGTCTGGAAATGACGAAGTGGGGGAAATATAACAAAGGTAGTGTATTATCCATCCATCCATCCATCCATGTCTTTGCACCTCTTACTTTGATGCGCATTGCATCCGCCTTTCCACAATTCCAAATCACTAAAAGCTGCTTGCATCTTGTAACCGTTGTTTTTGACATCAATAAAATCTGGACCAGCTGTATCCATCCACCAAGGCGTCATTATCCATGCAGTTTGCCAGAAAAGACAAGGCATCTTCTTCCAACTAGCTGCATAATCTTCAATATCCACCAATCGAACTCCATATTGTCTGAGTTGTCTTCATCCTCCTCCTCCTCCTCCTTCTACTCCTGATGATGATGATGATGATGAAGATACTGCGAATATAAATGGACAATTAGTCTACACCCAAAATACCACTGGCTCGCTCGCCTGCATGCTGAATAAATTCTGTAATAATGGTCTTTGAATGTAGTCAGCACCGCTTATATACCTCTCGCTCTCTAGCCAAACACATCATCACGCCCACCCCCACCCCAATACACACACACGTTCTCCCTCCCCCCCCGCTTTTGTTTCGTTTGTATTAGGTAGTTAGTTAGTTAGTTAGTTAGGTTTACATATATGTGATGACCTGATGTGATGTGACGGTGGTCGGTAGTGGTGGTGTGCAAATGAAACCAACATCTATTAACATACGGCATTTTACCCATTATATATATCTTATTTCACCTATGTGTGACATTTCCGTTTTCACTCCACACACCCAGTTTGGTTCGTTTTAATTTTTAGCGAAATATAATCTAAATTCTTCGTTACATTTCATCCATTCATTCGTGACACGTAAGTAAGTAAGTATTACACATATATACATACACTAGTAGTACTAGTAGTAAGTGTACTACTATGTACCCGAAATTTTGATCTACTAATATCCTTTTATTTCGGTGTTTTGTTTTGTTTTCAGTAATCGGCTTGTCATCATCATCATCATCAGGATCAAGATCAGGCTAAGGGAAACGCTATCATCTTACTCGTTCGAATAGACCAATCATGCACCATCATGTGTGTGTGTGTGTGTGTGTGCGCGTAAATTCTCTGACTTGTCGACAAGCCTGTGGCCATTGCACTACCTATTCTATTATTACTATTATTAATACTATTCCCATAGTTGGTTTGTAAGGATTAAATTCGATTTACGAGTTTGACCACGCCAAGCCAAGAATCGGATTGTCATAATCATAATCATATACAATTGTTCTTGCACCTGGGGGCATTGGGGAGTACTGGACAGCCAGCTGCTTCGTCAGCCACCCTAGTTTCGGAATCATTGGCAGTACGCGCCCACCACAGTGGCAGGGTTCCAATCCAGGACCTTCCGGTTACAAGCAAGGCAAGATAGCTGGCTGGCTGGCTGGCTCGTATACCATTCAGTCACCACTCACTGGGACCTGACCTGACCCGACCAGATTCAATGACTAACGCATGAATTCTAACTTCTACCAATCAATTTATGATGCATTTACCGCGACTAGCGGCGGCACCAACCAATCGGTGGGAAATCCATCCTCGCTCGCACAGTTGACTGGACTGGACTGATTGGAGCTCACCGTGTAAAATTGACTAACTGACTAACAACATATATGCTGCTGACGGATTAATTGCTGGCTGGCTGGCTGGCTGGCTGGGTGCTGGGTAGGTCTGTCTGTTTGTCTATTTGAATTGACTAACTAACATTATGCCCAATTATATAATTATTCTTGCACTAGCCTTACATTGCGATTTCTCAGTAGTCACTGCACTCACTCACTCACTCACTCACTCACTCACTCTTTTATTTCAGCACTAAAAGTATTATTATTATTATTATTATTATCCTACAACGTCGTAATTAAAACTACAGAAGTGAAAATGTTACTTCATCTCATAATCTCATAGGACGAGGAGTAGGGCACAATGATCAACTTTTTAAATATATTTTCATATGCATATATATATATATATATATATATATTTAATATACAGGCATCTATCTATCTATCTATCTATCTATCTATCTATCTATCTATCTATCTATTTGTGTCAATTTATCGATCAATCCAGTCAGTCAGTCAGCCAGCCAGCCATCTTTTGAAAATACACATGATATAACAAGATATTGATTTTTAAATTTTAATTAGTCATCTAAATGCCTTGTATAATAGAGTAGAGTAGAATAGAATAGAATAGAATTAATTATTCCTTAATTCATTGCCTCCCTGCCTGCTTTGATTGTGAATTGTAAATTTTGCCTAAAAGATGATGATGATAAATAATGACTTCTTTTAATTTGAAGAAGAAGAAGAAGTCAATTGAAGAAGAACTTATTATTTATTCTTATTATTAGTCTTTTTGGGAGGATTTCATCATGACCTCTATGAGACATGAATTATCTATCTATCTATGAGTTAGAGAGAAAGAAGCATTGTAAAACCAGTTGGGTGGAGGGGAGTATTGGATAGCCAGCTATTTTATCAGCCACCCCAGTTTGAGGCACTTACTTCAGTAGCACGCTGGCTGGGTTCGAGCCAGCCCTGGCGGTTTACACAGAATGATAAGTTCTTGTTTGTTTTTGGTCGAATTACAAAACACACAGACCCACACTCACAGTTGGTGTGATGATCTCGGACAGCAGTAGTTTTACTCAAAATATACTACCGAAAACGAACACACAAAGAAACAAACAAACAAACAGAACTTATCATTGTCTGTAAACTATTGAAATATATGATTATTATTTATTTATTTATTTACTGACATTAACTACTCCGGGAGAATTGATTGCAACTATAGAAATGACTCAGCGCTGACTCAGCAAGAAAATAACATCCGGAATTCCTACGCCAATATGAAGAAACTGCAGTTTCTACTCATTCTCGATACTTCAGCATCAAAAATATTCTCACTTTTATTGAATTTTGAAATGTACTAAAATAAATAAAATAAAATTGATAATACAGGTATTTATAACACACACACATCATCCTGATGCAGAAAGAGCTGGTGTTTGCTGCTTAGGACTGAACAACACGTGGGAGATGGCCACCTCCGTTGAAACAAGCAAATTCAGCCAGATAATTAACATGCCAATTATCAGTCCACCGAGTACGTGTTGATCATTTCGGAATGTGAATCGTCTATCACCAAGAAGTGCTTGAACAATGATACCTATCTCCTGAAAGTGAAATGAAGGAATGATGAAACTTATTAGTGTCCAGTATGTTTTCAGGCAGTACAAATGCCTGTGAATTCGTGAACAGAAATAAGTGAGATACTTAAGTTATGTGTATAGACCATGAAAGTTCAATCATATCATAGGATTTCTAATGACGAAAACGAAATGGTTTCAACTGATATGGAGATTTACTTAGCCGATGTATTTTATGCCTTCGATAGGCAGGTGTCAAAATTATGTACACAATTGAAATTTGAGTAAAATTCCTCTTCCTCATGACATGATTAGTCCCTACACCAAAAATACAGAACCATTAAGAACTGAAGACATTTCAGTGGGACAACAGCGTACATTTATCTCTCATAAATAATATTCGAGACCAGAACTCAGTGAGTCAGTTAATTCAGAAGTACAGTTTCAACTGCACTTATCTACTTCGTTCAGTGTCGCTTCGTATTCTCGGTAGACTAACAGCAGGTGTTATTTCAAGAAGTGCAAATCCGTTTTTAAATGATGGATTGATAAACATACCGAAATTACTGTCCATATCATGGCGAATCCACACAGCATGATGAGTATCTGTCAAGAGAATGGGAGGTGAAATCAACGATTTACTTCAAACGACACAAATATAGAATTATATTTTCTTCATTGTGACCATCAATTTAAGTGACCATCTAATTTCTGTTATTTATTTACTGCACTTGGCGTAATGACGCATTATACCAATCTGACTAATTGTGGAATGGCTATCTGCAGTATGCAGGAATCTCAGTTACAGCCTCAGTGTAATTCATATTCCTGCAACTAACAGCTCGAATTGATGACGTTCTCTAGGAGACTGAAACTTGTTTGCTAATTAAGTTTCAAAATATTTTCGCAATTTATGAGAAACTTGCTCAGTCTGGATAACAGCAGTAGTAGATTATCGACATTCCAGGTAAGCAATTGAAGAGTTTGATTTCATGCTCCCACTCTTCCAAATTTCTAACAATTCTCCATCATACCTTCTTAACTCTTCTGTCATTTGGCTTGAGATAAGAGCCTCCAACATTGTGTGGAAATACCAAATGTCCAAGAAGAGTCACGATTTCATCCAAGCAACGCACATTAGTTGGCTGACGTTCTGGAGGCCTACACTAGACGGTAAAAGAACTTTATTTCAGCAAAGTTCAAGTATGCTGGTTTTCTGCCTTAAAGTGTCAATAGTGATAGTGATGTTTTATGCACAGAGTGGTCGCCTCTGTTCCGTCTATTCCTGACTTCCTTGTGGTTAGTAAACTATGTGTCCCTGTCACATATCCTCAACAGCAGATGAAATTTCACGATGACCAACTTAAAGTTCATCTGACCACTCACATCGTATTCTTCAAAATAAATAAAAGGGAAGAATACCACACAAAAGAATAATTCAACGACGAATGTGGCAAGTATGAAGGGACCAACACTTTTGAGCAAATCGAATCTCCTAAGAACACTGACGCCCACTACAATTCCTGCAATAACCATGGTAACAATCCATGTTGCAAATGTCCACCAGATTTCTACATCGATAAGCGGTACAGCTGTGGGAAAGGCGATGATTATTGTCTGTGTGTCGAGGGAAAGAGGAATAGAGATAAAGAATGACTCACTTAAATACGAGTGATATGAAAGTAGTTTTTTAAATGAGTTCATATTCTGAACTGATGTTGCATGGTTGGAATGTTAAGGCAGGAAGCGATGAATCTTCTCGAATAAGTCAATAGTGATTTATCAAGTACTTTCGTATAAAGTTATTGTGGTAGATATGTTGTTTGAAATAGCGCTAATAATTCTTTGAAATGGTTTCATCCAGCATCTGTTTCAATTTCTTTAATATTGTAACACATTTTTTGAAATATCGTCGTCAAGAAAACGAATTTCATTTCCTCTTCGAACCTGTTCACCCTTAAATACTCCATTTTTGTAGCTGAATGATTTGTTCCTGGTGAGTGTTGAGAGTTATAATAGTAGTATCAATTACCTAATTGTCATCGTTTTCGTTCGTTGTTCCACTCAGCTGGGAATGTTAATTCTACTTCATCACGATTTACTTCATATCAGAACTGGACTATTTGAATCTCGAATGAAATCGAGGCTTCTTCCTCCGTAACAGTCAAACACTTCCTTGGAGATGATGTGACGACTAGTATGTTCGAGTCACGTCATTCCTTCTCTCGGTTGAATACTTATGATGCGCGAGTTTCAACTTAGTCGCTTTATAATCCAAACATTTCATTGAAAGACATCACGTGCCCTGTCCTCGGAGTTATGAGAAAGGCAACAAGCGAAACATGCCCTAGTCTAAACCTTAGCCAATCTGATACACAAGACAAATGCATTACTGAATTTACCGCGTTCATAAAAATAAATGAGAATGATGACACGAGTTGCACTCACAGTCACTATCAAGTACATATAATTGTAGGGGAACGCGAATTGTAATTGTGGTATAAGCAGCATTTCCAGTTGCAGAAGTGTCCCCAGAATTCTATATCGACACAAACGAAAGAAATGAAAGTTATGAAGATGGCGATTCTCTAGATCAATTTGTAGTGGATGAGGAGGAGGGGGGATAATAGACATCCCCTGAAATTTCGTCGATTAAATATGTAATGACCACTATCAAGGTGCTCCAACTACACTCAGTTATTTTATTCCAATGATGAATACAAGAGTAATACTGACAATAAGTACAATTCATTCACATAAATCTGAAGTATTAAATTAGGATTAAAATGCCGAAATGAAACACTCAGCTGTACAAGTATTCTTGGTTATCAATGTGATTCAGCCTTGCTTGCAGCCTTCTTGGATTATCAGTATTTGTTTTATTATGTCTACAACTCAAATCTCGTAGAATCATGGTGTCTGAATAATTTACTCGAAGAGAAAGCACTTTTACTTCACTATTCTAAATCTAAATAGCTTATTCACTGTCCTACTCCCAGCATTATTATCCATAGTGTGCCTAACTATGAGATGGATAATTAATTGGGTTGTATATTTGAAGAGCATGAAAGATATGAGTGTTACACGTACCCGCACGTCCAGATAAACCAAGGAGTATTCGACATCCAGTGACGAAGTGTTTCACTTGGGAGTAATCCATTCACAATACTAGTTATTCAACAAAACATAACTTACGTAAGTAACACGAAAGAACAGATTTCCCACACAATTGCAATCTGGAGTGACACTATGATGAAAGTCTTTGAAATGTAAACAGTGAAGTGAATACTATGTAGAAAAATGCATCAAATACCTTCCAAATGAACTCCCTGCTCCTCTGTTCAACAGAAAACTGATTGGAAATAGACTTGATTAACTCGGTTATAAGCAATACTAATGAGGAACATACTTCTGTGTTACTTTGTGAATTAATTGCGTCTTGATTTGAAGACAGTTCATCCGTTGAAGAAAATGGAATAATCGGATTGATAATATTTTTAAAGGAATTATAATATATTGTAAAAAGAAGAGGAAGGACAGAAAACGTGATGCTCTCTGACCAAGTAGTTAATTGCTGAGAATCTGTTTACTTCATTTGTGCTGTGTTGTACCACATTAAAGATTTCAGTACACACCTGATGGCATAGCTACTGAACAGAGTGGAGACCACTGAACTGTTCATATCTTTCTCCTTCAACTACAACGTTTCAAAATCCAAAACGATAACAACATGTAGTGATGCACTCTGCACACCTTATTCTTTCTATACATGTGGATGCTGTCGCCCATGATACGTGTGAAGTGAGCATCTGGTGTTTGTGCAGACCTGTTCATCAGCATCATCATACATTCCACAGTATTCAGTCACATGCCGAAGGTAATGAAACATTGGCTAGTGGTGTGCAGGCGACCAATCATTTTGTTGTCAAGCTCACCAGATTTGACTCTGCTACCTATGTAATCCATGTCAACGAGAATTTTCTCCGATATCGCAATAATCTGTCGAACAGTGAAGTCGACCATCAAATCACTTCTAGAACCAGCTGTAATGTACATGTACTTCACTACATAATATCACACGGGAATATAACGTCTACGTAGTTGAACATTCATCGTTTTGGGTATGAAAACTGGGGGACTTTGTTGGTGCTGGCATTCTACAGACAATCTTTGGCTTTTCAGATAACAAATCCATCAGGTTGGTCTGAGTTTGGATACTTAATTTCTGATAAGTGGTGATGATTGACAGTCGCCAACCATCTCTTGGAACGAACTTAGAATATTTCTTTTCAACGGAATTATATATAGCTACTTTCTAAATATTCAGAATGTTTACCTTTTATTCAGGATAGAACTGAACTGAGTGCAAATGATTTGCACTTGCTTCATTTGTTGACTTTTAAAACGGTGGATCTGGCGGTATACATATACATACCACTTCCAGGTTAATGAAAGCACTACAATCTGGAGTCCTTTAACGCTTGAAATATTTCAGATTCGTTCTCCCAGATATCAATATTAGCAGAGGTACTCGAAACAATTCAAGAAACAGATAAAGTTGAGGCGTTACAAATAAGCGTAAGTTAATATCCAGCCTCATCACAGCCCCACTATCTTGATTTCGTAAATATCTGTAGTAATGCTGAACAAGTCATGACTCAGTTATAGGACCAATGGCCCTTCGAGAAATTCTTCCCATTCAATAGTGTCGGTGGTCATATGCCTTCCCGTCTTATTTCACTAATATATGAGAATCGATTTCACAATTAGAATTTTCGAATTAACAATGAATGTTGGATGGTTCGTCTCTAAATGTGACAGCTTCAGTGAAGACAGGCCTAAAATTTCAGAAAGCAATTCAGTGATTCACTCATCTCTAGTAATTAGCTTTACGAACTGACATACAAAACCAATACATCATTGAATTTGTGGAGGATATCTTGACCATTCAATCTAATTATGAGTCACATTTCGATGTGGAATGAAGCTTAAACTGTGTTCATTAGATACACCATGTTGTCATGAAACATAAAATGAGGTCGCGAGAAGTACGTCATCATAATGAATAGTCTCATGTAAGCATTACAAGTATCAGGGCTAGAAATAAATCTCACCACAATATATTATGGAGCTTATTATTCAATTATGATATGAAAATAAAAAGACTTACTGTCGTTTGATGAGCTCATCGTCGCGAAATTTGTAGGCACCGCTGACTAACGGCAAAAGGTGTGTGCACTTCATTTTATACATGTCGGTGTAGATGAAAATCATTCAAGGTAAACATGTTTGCTCAAAGGAGATGAATTCGATGAACTTTGATATTGAATAGACAGTCACAAAACACACAACTTCACCGGAGTCAGTTAAATTCGAAAACGGAATGAACACTTGTGAAATTATTGGCAGAGCAGTCACAAATGGATTATCATTAGGCTATCGGAGAGCAAAAACCACATTATGTAAATATTTCAATGCACTAGGACCAATCTCAATTATTTAAATACGTCAACACAGTTAGAGGGCTTTGAAAAACGAATAGGCTGTGGATAGGTATTTCATTCGATATCGAAATTCCTCGTCTCTGAAAACTAAGGATTTCAGGAGGGCATGAACTATATGTCTAAACAAATTCATAGCGTTTGAGATATTGATATGTGAAAATTTCATTATATTAACTGGATTAGAATGTTTTAGTCATCTTGTGAATGAGACGCTTTACAATGACTACCAAATAATGACGAACCAGTGATGGGCTAGTACTATGATGTCACTAGTGCATCCACAGAATATGCCATTCATCGAATATTGAATCTACTAAAAGGTAACTGATGAGAGGGATAAGACATTTTACAGTGCATCAGATGAACGCTATTTGTTCAATTGTGTGAGAGCAGAAACTATCCTGAGGGATGTTTAAGGTTCCGTCGTTTGAAGCAGTAAGCGACATTATCAGTGCTGGTCGATCGCAAACTGATGTCAAACCTTTGACAAAAGAATAGCGATTTTCAATGTGGACCAAGTTCGGTTCGAATGAATGAAACTCAGAACGTAGGTCGACGATCACCCACTAATAATATGTTTTTAACCTTGCCTAGTTTAGTAGTTTGACAGTTTTCTAACCGGTCTCAGGCTTGGATACAGAGGGGCAGGTTCAGCGATGCGCTAGCGACCCTACACCACAAAATC